AAGATCAAACCCTAAACCTACAATTAGGGTTTACCTTTATTTATTTTTGAATTAATTTAGAATTAAGCTCAAAATGAACTTGCTCCAAATGATCTCAAAAATTTACACAAGCATCCTCATGATAAATTAGTGTACCAAAATAAATTTCATAATTTTTGGAGTTATACAGTGGCCTACAAAAATCATGGAAATTGCATTTATTAATTAATTGACTGAATTTTTGAACATTAAAAATTTATCCAAATTTCAAATTTCAAATTTTTAAATCAAACTAGAACATGTACAGAAGCTACACAAAAATTTTCAGAATTTTAGGAGCTATGATTATTTTTCTACAAATTTCCAAAGATTCAGTACTATTCACAAATTCAGAAAATAAAAATTTTCACTGTTCTTCTTCCTCACTCGCACTGACAACCTGGGCCCGCTGTCAGCAACACAGAGATAGGGCACGACGGTGCTGTTGCCAGCTCCGGCCAGCAAAACGCGTCGCCGGTGCTTCTCCGGTGAGACGGACTGTACCACCATGCTCTACACCACGTCGCGAATCTAACCCAATCCTCGAAGCGACGAAGACTCACGGGAGGCGAGCCCCCGCCCGGCCATGGCGGCTCGGGGCGCGGCGGCGCGCATGACGTAACCACGGCGACGATGCAAGAGAGAATAAAGCGAAGTGATAAACACGTTCAGAGCTCACTATGATCACGATGGTGGACTCGGTGAAGACGGAGATGGTGCGAGCGACCAGCCACGGGGAGGCGATCGTGGCGAGCTCCGACCGGTCTCGGGGAAGACAGGTTGCGCCGGGCGATTCCGGCCAACACCAGCGATGAGAGCAAATCGAGGAGAAGCGCAAGACCGAGGCGATCACGTTGGACGTAGCTGGAACGACCGACGCGGCTCGGCGATGCCTAAAGGCGGCGGCGGAGCTACTGTGGTGGCGGAAGCGAGAAGAGAGGGAAGAATGGGAACGACGGCGGCGGATCAGTAGCTATTTATAGTCCGGAAGAAGGCGTCTGGCGTCGCCCGGCAAGATTGCAGGCGGGTTCGCCACGGTGACATCGGTGTGTCACCGCGCTTAGCAAGCGGTGAAAAACCGATCGGTGGCGGCGGCTTCGATGGAAAGCAGGAGGTGATGACTGTTCGGTTGATTTTTGAATAAATTACAGAACTGCCACTGAGACTATTTTTCGAATTACTCACAAATTTTCTAAAGAAGTTGAAAATCTCCAAAAATTCTACAACTTTTCTTCTAGAAACATTTTCAAATTATGCCTCTATTTTGAAATTTGAATTTGGGGTGCATTAGAGCATTTGAATCATTTCAAAATTACTCCAAATTTTATATGTAAACTTGAAAAACTTTGAATACCAAAGTTGATCCTTATAAAATAAGCTCCAACTTTGCTTTTTGTCAAAACTCCAAATTCCAAATGGATTTTGAATTAGTAAAAAGAGGCAAAAATGACTTATGTAATTTGAATATGAATTCAAATTTGATTTGTCTTCCTTTCACTTAGATTTTGATTTTTGACCAGTAACATGGCCCATTAGGATTATTTGAGTCAAAGGACATATGACCTCACATGATCACATGAAATTTAACCCTTCTGGTCATGATTTGTATTTAGAGTTTTTGAAACACATCACATGAAATAACAACTTATGAAACAAATCTTATTTAGTGAATGCATTCCAAATTTTCTTCTTTATGAATGCTTTGCAATGCATATGATGACATGTCAAATTTTAGTATTAGGTCAAAACACCAGAGGTGTTACACACGCCCTCCAGCCGTGTCCACGTCGATCGGCCTCGTCCACGCCCACACCGGCATGAGAGTTTTTTTTAATCTTTTTTATTAGGAGGAAGAGGAAGCAATGCTGACGTGCAAGCCCACGACATAGACAAAGGGAGAGGAGGAAGTCTTACTGATGGGCTTTGGCTAGCTGCTATTGGGACACAATTGATTGGTTGTTTGCTTGGTTCAACAGATTTACCATGGAGCTCTTCCAAACAGTTTTCTCGTCACTACATATTCAATTTGAAGTTGCTCTAAGATGAATTTGATACTCCAGACTTTGGACCTCTACCAAGTGCCTTTACTACTGCTTGCATACACGAACCCAAGCCTACTATACACGACAGACCTACTACAATGGCACTGTGGTAGCTCCTAGTGCTACGCATGGCGTGGGCACGTGGCCGTAGTAGAGGGGAGCAGGTGTCAACCACTAGTCACTACGGGCATGTTTGGAGCACTGGCCTGTTGGCCTGGCTGCGCTCTCTAGTTGTAGTGCGCGTGTTTGATGTCCATGGGCTGTCTCCTAGCTAGGCTCTCCGCATGCTTTTTGGTCCCCTCGGCCTGGCTCTAGGGAAATGCTCCCCCCACTGTTTTTCTAGGGCTCAGCCACACACGGCTCCACGTGGGTGATTTGGGGGCGATTCCTGGTGACGGCGGCGGCTGGCTCGCGCGGGCTCGCACGGGAAGTGTGAAATCTTCGCGTGCGCTCCCACTTTCGATGAAATCCACCGCCTTTATAAGCGGCCCCTCTACGCCTTGCTCCCCTCCTTCTTCTCCCTTGCTTGTCCACCAAATCCCATGAGAGACTGGCGGTGTGTTAAGGTGTGGTGTCCAGCGAGGTAGTGTTCTTCCTCGACAGGCTTCCTCTCCGTTCCCCTACCACGGATCTGGTCGAACACGGTGTCGCACCATCTTCCTAGCTGGGACTCCGGGAGGCGGTCGTCTTCTTCCTTCGTCTTCCTCAGTTTCGATGATGCGCATGGTGGTGCTGTGTACCAGATCTACTTCCTCTCTGTCGAGATTTGCTTCTTAGTCACCTCGTCTTCTTCTTCTCCATTTTGCGCTTCATGTTTCCTCCGTCGACCACCCCGAGGTGAAATCGACCCCCCAATCCCCGTACTATTTGCTTTGGATGATGCTAGGGTTTTGGTATATTTGTACAAGATCCTGTCTTTGTGGCTTATCTGAACTGTTGGTGCCGGTTGATTTGTTATGCGATGTTGGCTTTAGGGTTTGGCTTGAACTATTCGTTTGTTCCGACTTTAGTATGGTTTAATGCTATTTGTTTACCTATTCTTATGGTCAATGATGATGTCCATTGCACTGGGAGGCATGTTCTATCATGCAGCCGTGCCTACTTTTTTGTTGACTGATTACACATCCATGTTGAGGCCAGCCAGGGATAATTGACCTATGTTTCTCTTGAATGTTCATGCATATAGATGGATCCCGCCCAAAACCATGAGCTGATGGCCAATCAAGCTGCTGCCTTGGTAGTTGTTATGGTGTCTTATGTTGTCACTAGGCTTAGGAGGTCTAGTCCAGAACCAGACCCTTTGTTGTACCATCTTAGAAGTGATGCTGAGCAGCATAGGAAGCAGACCTTGCAAGCCATTTTCAACTCCATAGATGTAGAGTGCCTATCCATGATAAGGATGACAAGAGCTCCTTTTTTTGCTCTTTATAACCTTTTTAGAGATAGGGGCCTTGTACCTGAAAAGGTTGGGTGCACAGTTGAGGAGCAGGTTGCAATGTTCCTTCATGTTGTTGGACACAACCAAAGGTTTAGGGTAGTTCACCAGGCCTTTAGAAGATCAATTGAGACTATCCATAGGCACTTTCACCAAGTTTTGTATGTTATTGGTGAGCTTAGAAGTGAAATGATTAAGCCTCCTACACCTGGCATTCATCCAAAGATCATTGGGAGCCATAGATGGAACCCTTACATGCAAGTAACTGTCACTTTAAGTGTTAATCCATAACTCACTCTAAGTGTCAACCAATGCACTTATCCCACTTACACATTTTTAGGACTGTATTGGCGCCATTGATGGCACCCATGTGTTGGCAAGGGTGCCTAGACACATGTAGCAGGCTTTCAGGGGTAGGAAATTAAACCCCACACAGAATGTGATGGCTGCTGTGGACTTTGACCTCAAGTTCACATATGTACTGGCTGGCTGGGAGGGCTCAACACATAATGCCCTCATCCTTGCTGATGCCATTGAAAGAAATGATGGGTTGATTGTGCCTGAAGGTAACTAAAACCAACTATCCACTACACTTTTGTACTTACCATGTCATAGACATTCACTAAGAGCATCTCTGGTGCACTTTTAGGTAAATTCTAAATTCTACCTTGTAGATGCAGGATATGCTTGTTGTAGTGGCTTCCTCCCTCCCTACAGGGGGTGAGGTACCATCTATCTTAGTATGGCAGCAGAAACCACCCAACCAATGCAAGGGAATTGTTCAACCTGAGACACTCCTCACTTAGGGTCACAGTTGAGAGGGCTTTTGGTGCTTTGAAGAATAGGTTTCATATTTTAGACAAGTCATTCCACCCTTACAAGACATAGGTCAAGCTTGTTCTAGCCTGTTGCATTCTTCACAACTGGATCCTAGGCTTTGGCCTTGACCAAGCTGAGCCATCAGAGGACTGGTTGCCACCAAACCAGCCTGATACCCAGCCTATGCATGAGCTACTGTCTCAAGACTCCACTGCCATGTCCACTAGGAGGGATGGGATATGTAATGCAATGCGGTAGGGTAGGGGTACCTCTAGGACCTGATTCATGCATGTTTATTCTTGTATAACTTAGTTTGTTAACCCTGGTATGGAACATGTGGTTTGTGTACTTCTTATGTAATAATTATTGGACAAGGCTGAGACCAATGAGCTTCAATCCTGCATACTGTTGTTACTGTTCTATCTTTTATGGGTACTCTATTGCTGGTTATGGATTGATTACATGCTTTGTGACCATGAGATACATCCATACTATGATAAGCATGCTCTTATGCTGTTGCCATTGCATGGGTGTGTCTCATGGCCACCAAATCTGATGGTACTCTATTGCTGCTAATCATGGTAATTGTATTGTGTTAATGTTTCATTGGTTAACTAAATAGGATAGCTTTAGCTCCTGTTGATGTGCTACCTGGTTAGGGTGGGTTTGTGGCTGCTGCTGAGCTCATGCCCGAGGTTCTTAGGGTTGAAGCAGCTCCTGCTGCTGATGTTGTTCCTGTTGCTGCTGCTGCTGCTGCTGCACCAGCTGCTGTTGCTGGGACCATGAGGTGGAACAACAAAACCTCTAGGTTTGTGCTTAGGAGGATGGCCTAGTCGCTTAGTGATGGCACTAGGCCTGACAAGGTGTTCAAGGACAAAGATGTTAACCATGTAGCCAAGTGTCTTAAGGACTATAGTGGGGATGCAGTGAGCCCAACTCAGGTGTACAACCACCTGAGGAAGTGGAGGAAAAAGTGGTCTAGGATTTGTAAGCTAAAAGATCTTAGTGGTGCCTTGTAGGATAGTGATGTCAAGGAAATCATGCTTGATGGGGAGCATTACCTAGGCCACTACAAGGTAGAACACTTGAGTTGCTAACCATGCTAGTTTGTCTTACCTTTCTAACCTCATCTGCAACTGTATCCCCTACTACAGGACCACCCTAAGGATGCAAAGTTCCTTAACAGTCCTATAAGGTTCTACCCTAAGATGGAGGCCATATTTGGGCATTCTATGGCCACTGGTAGGTATGCACTTGGTTCTGGTGAGGCCCTTGGGGTCAACCAAGCTAAAAGTGCAACTACTAAGGTCGAGGGCTCTGCCTTCCACCATTTCCCTAAGAAGGAGACCAACACTAAGGTTGATGAAGGCAGCAAGGCCACAGAGCTGCTGCAATCTACTATGGGTGGGAAGAGGAAGAGAGAGAACTTCACTGAGGATGAGATGCTCATGCTCACCAACATGTCTGATGCTGTGAACAATGTGGCCAATGCACTTAGGGAGACTAGACCAGCCTATGTTGATGCCAACCTATATCTTGTTGTTATGGAGACCCCTGTCTTCTCTAAGGAGGCTCTGATAGCGGCCTACACCTACCTGTTGGACACCTACCTGTTGGCATGACTAAGAGCCATAGGGATATTTGGCTTATGAACTACCTAGCCAAGAACTACTACATGTAGTTCTAGTACATGTTGGCAAGCATGTGCTTCGAGGGGGTTGACTGTTGAGATGTATAGTTCCTCCACCTCCCTCACCCACTCTCTCACCTTTTGTACACACCTTGGTGTAGCTTTTGTGCAGTTTAGTTGGCTGATTCACACCTGTCCTTTTGGGTTAGTGCAGTTGGAGGGTGGCTAACTATAAGTAACATTGGACAAGTTGGACCTTATTTGAGCCTACATCTGTGAGGCTGTACTGCTATCTATAATGCACTATTACTGGCCTCTATTGGCTGCTCAATTTCCTATTGTTGATGGTTTCATATATTTCTGTTGGATTTGTTGGCTCCATTTACTACATGTTGGTTCTGTTCTTTTGGCTCTATTTACTACATGTTGCTTCTGTTCTTTTGGCTCTATTTACTACATCAACTGTCACTGTTACCTGGTCTTTAGCCATGAAACTCAGCCATATAGTGGTAGCAGCATAGATGAATTATGTTGCTGCTGTTGGATGGCTGTGTCCCATGGCCAAAGCTTATGTCTATTCATGATTGGTTTTGTTTCTTTTGATTGGTGGTAACTATGAGGAATCTATAAGGCCTATGATGCAAACAACATATACATGAGGTGGCTGCCTTGTTTACCTGGTTCTTGATGTTTTTATGACTGTCATCAAACCCTATGTGTGCACATACATTCCCTTAGCAACAACTCCTTCTTTCTTGTGCTGATGGTAGTGAATGGATGTGCACAATAGGGTTCCATGGCAGCCATGACCTTGGATTTGCACTTGTTTGGTTGTTCTATTGCCTACAGTTTGTAACTTGCTGTTCTACTAGTTTTTTATTTGTATGGCAGCCACCAATGATTTCAACTTGATGAACACCACCAGATTCTAAAGCTGAGGCCAATCTTTTCTTAGAATGCCTGTGATATCATAACTATTGATTTGAACTTGATGATGCTGGTCATCAGCGAGGGACTTAAGATCAATGATTTGTTTCATCGCAAACCGTAGATCTTCAAGTTCCACACTCATGTCTAGTTTCATGCATTACATTTGACTGAGGCTAAACCACAGTTTCATTTCACAGAAATGCCAAGTTGCTATGTGGTTTTCTATGGGAAGACTTCAGGGATTTACCTGACTTGGCATGACTATAGTAAGCAAGTTCTTGGGGTCAGAAATGCTATATACAAGAAGTATAACAACTATGAGTAGGCTGTTAGAGATTATCAGGCAGCAATGAGAGATGTCAATCCATCTCATGAAGTAGCAACTCCCCTCCCCTATGATCTAGTTCCTAATGATGCTTTTGCTCCAATCATTGCTTCTTCTAATGGTAATGGTAAGGCTGGTTGGTGGAAGAAGGTGTTAATCACCTCACTTGTTATCTTTCTATTTGGACTATGGATGAAGGGGGGAATACTGGCTGCTACGACTACCCCACCTAGGCCTGTGATGACTACAACTAGATGATGGATGAGCTGCTGCTGTGTCTTACTAATTTTTATCATCCATTTCTGTTACCTATCTCCTATGTGTTGTTCAAGGACTACTCCTTACTAATTAGGCTGTTGATGTTATTTTTCCTTGCTTCATTGGTACTTTTGTAAAGTTAGAACAGCTATGACTCCATGGTTAATGACCTAATTTGTCTAAGGCCGGTTGGTTAGATGATGTTGGATTACTCTTACATATCTCCTATCTGTTGTTCATTTCTGTGCTATTCTCCATGGTTCCTGGGGCTGGCCAGGGATCAAACAGGATCTCGGAATGGCAGTTGAGGTAGTTGGCCTTAGACCTGGCTCCCTGATGTGGAATCAAACACAATCTGTGCTGAGCCTGGTTCGTTTGGTACAGGAAACCATAAATGGGGCTTGCACCATTTTGGCCCGGCTGTGACTAGCCTGGACCTGACTTGCGGGCCTAGCTGGCTTTATGCCGCATACCAAACATGCCCTACCAATAGTAGGATGGCCAGACCACACCTAAACGAAGTGGCATGCATCAATCACTCTCTGCCAAGACCAAACATTAACTAGAGTGGCTGGCCGGTCCTGCTCCATCATCAACATGTCTGATGCGTTGGTCAGCCCGGGTGCTGTCGTGGATTTTTTTATTTTTAACACATTTTTTAAACTATTTTTAAAACTAACATTGTTTAATTGTTTTTTTTCAAAACTAACACTTTTGGATGCGCCTGTTTGCACGACACGGATAATTCACGCTGATGCGCCATGCATGGTGGCGCGGCAGGGGATAGTCAACGGCTGCAGCGACCGCTGACGTGGTAGGTCTGACACGCCACCAGTCACGGTGCGGCGGGCCTGCCACACCATGCATCATGGCGCGGCAGTCTCTTGTACCTGGCCTCGCTTCCCATTCTCTCTCTCTGTCTCACTCGGCCCGAACCGCCGTGCCCTAAGCCGCCCTGCGCCCACCGCCGCGCCACCACGTCGTGCCCGCCCGCCACGCCATGCCATGCGGTGCCACGCCGCACCATGCGCCACCATGGCGCGCCCTCCCGCCACGCCGACACCACGCCACGCCCGACGCGACCTCGGCCGCCGCGCCCCATGCTGGCATGACTCCCGCCCACCGCGCCGCCCTTCCTCCCGCAGTCATGCTCCCTCTCCTCGACGCCTCTCTCCCGTGCCATCATGTCGGCAAGGACGCGCGTTGCAAGGGCTACGTGCTGCTAGGGAGCCACGTGCCAGTAGGAAGGGGTGCCGAGGGCTACGCCGCTAGGGACAAGGGGCTGGTCGGCCGCCGCAGGGCCGGCCTGCTGCTGCTGCCCGTCGTCGCGGCCACCACCATCTTTTGCTCCCTCTTCGCTGTCGTCAACGTAGGGACGCACGCCGCCCATCCATCACTTCGCACTGTCTCGAGCCATGAAGGACATTGCTATGCTGCCCATCGTCGTCCTCTAGAAGGGGGGATTGCCACCGGCCGGCCGCCCATTATAGCCGCCCTCCAGAAGTAGGCCGCTACCGGCCGGCCATTGCCGTCGGTGGCCATCTCATTTCCATTGGTGGATTGTGGTGACCCATAATCTCTGTCGAGGTAATCCTCTTCTGCATCTCTATCAATTTTTTTGCTAGGGTTAGGATTCAAATTTAGTTTAACTGGATAGAGATTTATACAATTAGTTAGCAAAGATATTTAGTGAAGTTAGTAAATATAAGTTATGTATAGTTTTGCAGTTAGTTTTGCAATTAGCTAGATATGTATAGTTAGTAAAGTTACTTAGTATAGTAAGTGTAGGTATTAATATTAGTGTGTTTAGTGTAGTTAGTATAGTTAGTTAGAATTGTTTATATAGGTATTAATATTAGATTAGTTAGTATAGGTGTAGTCAGTTAGTTAGTACGCACGACGATTTCGATGACCTGATGAAGTTTCTGAAACGCTTTTGTAGATGGATTGTTGTGTTAGAGTTTTCTACAGAGGAAGTGTTAGGAGAGAAGATAGTATGTTTGAGGATATGGAAGAAGAATTAGAATGGTTTGATGAACCTCCTAGCTTCAATGACCTTTGTGTCCGTTTGAATGCAAAGTTTGATGGTGATTTCACACTAAAGGGGTACCCGCACACATATGCAGGCCCCCTACACTAACAAGCCAATTGATGAGGATGAAGACGAGGATGACATCACTAATGCGTACAATGAGGCGACAAGGATGGAGACAGCTTTAGAGAGCCCCGCTATAGAGATACGTGGTAAGAAATTTGAATTTCAATACAACTGCACGTCGGCGTTCCTATGAATTGTAGTGATACAAACTTAGCTCGCTTGTGTATGCAGGCATCATAGTTGACAAGTCTGTCCAACAAAGTAGCCGTGCGACTTCACGAGACTAGAGGGGAGCCGCACGACATTCTATATGTCTTCATCGATGTACATTCTATTCTCAAAGCCATGACAGTGGTTAAATGGTTCCCATGACTCATTCATCTGTGTTTTCTTTTTTTTTACAGAAAGTGAGGAGCTGCAAGAAGCTGGCACAGAAACTCAGTTGCATGGATACTCCGTGGGAGATGCCCTATGACCTGGACCTATCTAGTTCCTTACGCTCGAGCACTATGTCGACACGAGTAGGTTCCTCCAACACGACGGCTGGTGGGACCTCTTATGTTCGTACTCCCGGCAATGCAGGCAAGGGTCCTGCGGAGCATGATGTTGAGGAGGACGAGGAGGAGGACTACGATGAGATTGGGATGTCTCAGCTTGGTGAAGCACCATTTCCTACACAGTTCGACGAACAGGTACTTGAAACAACCATTCACCATATACATCACAATTACTTAAACATTGTAAGTAACAATGCCTATATTGTAATTGTAGGGTCCTAGTTACACTCAGCAGTACCGCCGGGTGTACCGCCAGCGAGACCGTACCAACATTGGGTTCACCCCTAACATGCTGCCTTCACGTCCGAAGAGGCAGCGACGTCCGCGGTACCCATATACTCCTAGGTCGTAGGAGTTCTTTAGGATGACATGATGCACTTGTACTCGGACACCCATATACTAATGGGACATGTAGTATGTCGAGTAATGTTGAACTTATGTATTGATGAACTTGTGTCGTAGTTATGACTTGTTGAACTTATGTCGAACAGAGGTATTGTTGAACTTGCGATGAACTTGGGACGTGTACAAGTTAGTATTACTGAACTTGTGTATTGATTGTCTCATGCACTTAACCTTCCTGCTGACCTATTCGTTAAACCGATACGACGAAATAACTTGGCTCATGCGAGAACATAACAGAAGTGCCAGACTCCCTTCTGAGCGCATCAGCAGCAGCAAGATTTTGATGTATATAATTTAGGGGGTTTCAAAAGATCACAATGGTGAGAACAGTCTTCTAGATGGGCACAAAACTAAGACCCAAAAGTAATACCCGAATGTGTGACAATGACAAAAGCAAAAGCATTATATACCGAGAACGT